CGTTCCGAAGATATTGCTTCTATTTTTGAACGTGCTATCAAACGTGAACAACAATATGAACAAAATCGTATGAATACACGATGTGTAAATTGAAAATGATTTATCGTATTCTATTTTTCTTTGTTCTATTCGAAATATCATTTTAGGTTGTTTTCTTAGATGAAGCCTCATTACCTAATGAAAAGAAAATGGTCTTAAAAGTATTACATCCTTATTTAGACGAATGTAAAGTAGCATTTGTGGCAATTGCTAATAAAGCATTTGATGCAGCTAATGCTAATCGAATGATTTGTATTTATCGTTCATTACCATCTGAAGATGATCAAAAAATTTTAGCCTATGGTTGTTTGGGTTTACAATTAGAAAAACGACAATCAACTATTGATGATCGTCTTGATAAGATAATTCATGGTTTATGTCATGGTTATCGACGAATACTTTATTCATTAGATATTCCTCATATATTTCATGATCGTGATTTTATCTATATGTTAAGAGAATTACGATTTGAATTAATAAATTTAAATCAAAACGAAAAAACAACTATTGGAGAAATAACACCACGAAGTTTATTACGAGCATTAGAAGATAATTTTAATGGAATTCGAATGGAAGAATTTGATAAATTAGTTGATATATTTGCTACAGCTGTTGGAGAACAATGTTCTGATTTTCGAACATTAATCACCGAAAAACAACATATTCAACGTAATATTCCAACAATTCTATGTAATTCAATGAAATTAGATCCAATACATCGTCGTCTTTATGGTAGATATAAATTAATAATTGATGAATCTGAAAATGAAAGTGCTGTTCATCTTCTATTTCAATTTGGTATTCTTAATTCTGATCCAAATCGAACGACTGTTTTTCGTATGTCTGATTTTCCTGATGATATCAATAATGAATTACGAAATGTTGAAATTTTATCAAATATTAAATTATGTATGGAAACAGGTAAAACTATTTTAATGATTAATACAGGTCGTATTCATGATTCATTATATGATGTTTTTAATCAAAATTTTTCTATAATGGCTACTGAAGAAAGTAGAAAAATATTTTCTAAAGTATCTATTGGTCCAAAAACAATCGATGTTATTGTACATGAAAATTTTCAATGTATTGTTCATATTAAACGAAGTGAATTTAAAGATATTCCAGCACCATTTTTAAGTCGTTTTCAAAAATATTCTTTAAGTATAGAAGATTTTTATACAATTCAATTAAAAGAAATTTCTATTGAAGAACAAAATCTTATGAAAAATATTAAAATAAAAATTCAATCATTTATTAATCATTTTGGAAAAGAATATTTCTATGGATTTAATAATGAAACATTATATTCATATCTTTTATTATTTATTAAAAAAAATCAACAAAATAATTATTATTTATCAAATATTCATGAAAATTATAATCAATTAACAATAAAATCAAAAATATTTATTGAAAAAAATTTAAATAATAAACAACAATCTCTTCTTTTTATTATTCTTTCAAAATTTTTACAATTAGTTTCACCTGAATCAATGATTTATAAATTACCAACATTTAATGAAACTACTGCTCAATTATTATGTGAAAATTATTTTTATCAACAAGAACATTTTAATATTGAAAATTTTCTTTATCGATTTATTTCTAATCCATTATTAACTATTGATAATAATGAATTATTAACTATAAATAATACTATTGATCAAAATATCAATAATAATAATAATAATATTATTATTACAAGAAAATTAATGATATTTACTCGAACATCATCATTTGTTATTAGTCTAAATCAACAATCAAAAAATGATTTATTTTATCAAAATGATGAAAATGATATGATGATGAACATTAGTGAAAAAATCGATATTCTAAATCTAGTAAGTCTTTCGAACAGTAACATTCATATCAGAGAATCTTGCGATGAATCAAACTGAGATATTCTATATGCATATTGTAATTATTTTAATGATAGAATAAGGATGGGTAAGATAATAGTGCAATGGACTAAGTCAAATTAAAATGTGACAAACAATTGTACCTGCATATCTCTTCATCATCCTTTTAGTTAATCATCCAGAAATATAATAAGGAAATAGTCTTTGATTGTATATGTTAGCATCTAATGTCAGCTCAGAGAAATCATATTTCAGGTAATATAATCATTGGTAGAAAAATTAAAATAGAATTCGTGAAGGTTTTAATAAGTTTCTATGGAAATTTATCTATAAGTATTTGAGTTCGAACTGAGTTTCTTCATTGGATGATTGTAATATCTGAAATATCATTGTTTCAACATAGAATCCGAACTTAATATATACTAAGAGATTAATGGAAGCTTTAACGAAAATTCCTTCGTGGATTCGACATTAGACACTAATCTATGTCTATGCCTGTGGAGATCTGTGACATGGATGGAGAGGCGTATTAGGTCCAAAATTTTATTCCTATACTTCAACACTCTTTAAATCATGTTGCACAAAACGTTCATGTACTGCTTTTACTAATTTTCTAGTGAACCTTATTGAAGACTATTTCAATATCTCTGACGAGAGAACCACTCCAAGTCCTAAAAAGCTTTTGAGCTCAAACTTTGCTCATAGGTAGAAGATGTATAGACTAGGAAAAACTTATTTCCGATAAAATCAAAGTTTCAAATTTTGACCTGAAACTTTACATACGTCGAGGTCTCAATCAAATTAGCTTGCCTACAAAATTTCAGAATTTCTACATGAATTATCTCCGAAATATGGACTTTCCAAAATATTCGTGCATAATACAATATCTATAAAAAAACGTTTATAAGATAACATACTGATATCTCGAAGATAATTTATCCAGAAATTTTGAAAATTTGTAGGCAAACTAGCCTGATTGAGACTTCGACGTTTGTAATGTTTCAGGTCAAAACTCGAAACTTTGATTTTATTGAAAAAGTCAAATCTTATAGAAAGACTGTAGTAAAAAGTTGATATCTGAGTCAATTCGCAACTTGCGCCCACATCTTCTTAGGGTTTTTTTCTAGTCTATACATTCCATATCTATGGACAAAATTTAAATTGAAAAACTTTTTAGTATCTGAAGAGGTTCTTTTGTGAGTCTTTCCTCAGTAGTAGTACAAGAAATGTGAGTTTTTTTTCCTTTAATCTTCCTTTATCATTTTAACAGAAATGTTAACTATTTTTTTTCTTCAGGCAATTATTGAAAATTCAAATGAATTATTTGAACAATTTCAAACTTTTGAACAATCAAATGAAAAATCTATTCTTATCATTGTTATTGATGGTCGTATTAATCAACAACGTATACATATACCATTTATTCGACAATTAATTGATAAAACTGATATTTCTTGTAATAAATCATTGAAAAATTTATCAAAATTTTTTATTATTCTAATATATTCATCTGGACAAGAAGTTAATTATAAATCATGTTTTCCTTCAATATTTTTACATGATTGGGATTATTGGTTTGTTGATACATCAACACCAGGTAGTGCATTTCATTTACAAAAAATTTTACAAATTTTTACTTCAAAAATTGGAAAATTTCATCAACAAGAAACATCAAATAATTATCTTTATGATTTAAATAAACTTTTTGATGATTGTCTATGGAATTTTTGTTCTCGTTTACAAATAAATATACATAAATTATCACGAAATTTATTTAATAGTTTTGATGCTTATGAATTTTATCAACATCAAACAACTACTTATCGACGTGTACAATGTTTGAAAAATATTTTTCAACAAATTAATCAATTACAAAAACATATTATAACAATTTATCATGAAAATATTTTAATGAAAGAAGAATTTTTAAGAAAAAATTGTAATAGAATTTATGATATTTCAAAAGATATTTTATGTGGAAAATATTTTATTAGTTTAGTTGATTCTTTACAATTACATATACGAATATCATTTATAAATTTTATTTCATTTATTTTAAAATATATTGTTGATGATTATGGATTAGAATCTTTAACTAAATTATCAAATAAAAATAATGATTATAATAAATTACTTGATTTAATTGATTATTCATCATTTCCTATTAATTATGAAAATCAAATTGATTCAATAATACAAGAAATAATAATTTTAAATGATCATTATTCTTGTATACTTCAAACACCATTATTTTATTTATGTCGACAACGAATTAAAAATATTGCAGATGATATCAAATTTAAATTGATTCATCAACAAAATCAATTTAATGGTTTGATATTTCATTTTATTATTTATATTGAAAATTTTTCTAAAATCTTCGAATCTAATGACGAAGCATTTTCAACGGATCAGTTACTTTCTTATACTGAAAGCTAATGAATTATGGATTATAACACATAACCTAGTAGCATTTTATGAGAAAGTGATTGATCAGTTGAAAATGTTTTCTCATAAATCAAACTATAACACTAAAAAAAGTCTCGTTTTTTTTGAACGAAATAATCTATCAGATATTTTTCTTTCGACATTTCCGATGAGAAAAAAAATGCAAGAAAAATTACAGAAATATATTGTTGAACTCTTTCGAATCTTATCTATTAATGGATACTTCTGATAAGAGATTGTCTAGTTGAATTCTAAGGAGAAACAGCAGACTTCGAGCATAGAAGCTTCAAATTTTCAAAAGACTTGAAGATTGAAGTCCCTATTGTTTCTCCCTATGTTGAACTTGAACTCGATGTTGTCCTGCTATGGATCTGAAGAAATATTTAATGCATAGAAGAATGTGTTCTCCAAACGTTCGTATTTTTCTTATTTATCAAGTAGTTTTCAACAATTAAATTTTAAAAGTAAAATAGATGCTGATAGTACTTCTATAATGAGTAATACGACCATATTGTATTATTATCTGCAAAAATACAAGAAAATACAGTTCGTTTATGTATTGTACTAGGCTGTAAGCAATCCTATACGGCAGTTATGATGAAAATACAGATAGGCATATTCACCGGATTTTTTTTGTTGAGAATGTTCTTTATGATAAATTCAAGAATCTCAATATAAATCGACCAGATTCTTTAATTTGGTGTGTTCTGTGATATCTACTAAAATCATAGATTATTTATATAGAACTATATTTTAAAGATCTTTCTTTATTGGTTGAATACTTCTTTTGATTTGTTTTTAAATAAATATTTAGAACAAGTAGATAATCTTCATTTCGATTATTATGATGGTTCAATATCAACATCACCAATAATATATAATAATTTCTATAATGATCAAGATAGAACAGCTAATATACAAGAACAATATCGTAATCAATTGATTCGATCGCTTATGAATGATAAAATCTTAACTAGAGTTATTTCATCATCAATTCTTCAATCATATATTAATGATTCTATTCGAATTCTTTGTACAATTATTGAAAAGAATTTTCATGATAATCAAATACAATGTGAAAAAACAATTGATTTTGTATCACGTTGGTTAATATTAATTGATGATGATGATGATGATGAAAAAGCTTCATACAATTCTTCATTAAATCGTAATATTTGGCAACTTGCTCATATTTATACATTATTTGAATATGAACAAAATGATATTCTTTCATTCTATTCTGCTTGTCGAATAATAGAAAATCTTAATCAAAATCAATCATTTTATAATGATCTTTTCGAAGATGAAGATATTACTCGTTCAAAAGTTCGAGAAAATTTATTTCGATTAATGTTTTATCATTTATGGAATAAACTTTATGATTTATGTCAAACAAATAAAGATCTTATACAATGGATACATAGTTATACATTAATTTCAAAATATTATCCATCTAAACAAGTTTTACAACGAATGGAATATATTCATATGAAAGTTAAAATTGAATTTATGAATTTAATTTATTTTATTTTACTCAATGAAAAAATATTAGAACCTATTAAACTTATTCAACAATTATTAAATGATACATTAATTATACAAGATAATATTGATAATCATTATATTAATTTAGATGAAATAAATTGTTTACAATTATTAACTATAATTATTCAAATAATTGATCAATATTTTAAAAAGAATCATATTAATAATAGTATATTAATGATTGATATTCAACAATGGATTATTTCAATATTAAAAACATCGATTCAATCATCATATCAACAAATTATTTTTCTATTAAAATTTTTAAATCAATCAACATGTTATTTATCATTATCAATGAAACAATTTCTTTTTGATGAATTAATTAATATTTTAATTGAAAATAATCAACAAAATCATTTGAATATTTATCGACAATTTACTAGTTTTTGGGATCGTCTTTATCTTTTATCAATAATAATAGAATGTATAACTAATGAAAATCTTGAAAATTATCAAATACCATATCATCCATCTATTATTATAAATAAAAA